CCCAATACCCAGAATGTCCTTCAGTTAAAAGCTTGGTAACCTTAGTTGCCGAAATTAAAATTCTAGATGTTTTCTCGAGTATTGGAAATGATATGGTGTTTTTACCTAGAAGCTTCAATGTTTTGGACATACAAACAATTAAAGCATCATAGGTGGTTAACCAATCCATGCCTAATATAATATCGAAATCATAGAAGTCAAGCAGGATAAGATTTGTTAGAAGTTCCATATGTTCAATATATACCCTAGCATTTGGTAAAATAAATTTTGCATGGCCACATAATATGGACATCGTTACTCCATGTGGTAAAATAAATTTTGCATGGCGATTTGGTCCACATGGAGTAATGATGTCCATATTATGTGGTACTAGAGTTGGTTTAATATTAAGATTATGCAAAAATTTTGTGGATATAAAGGAATGAGTGGCATCTGAATGAAATAGGGTAAAAGCAGGTGTAGCATAAGCATACATTGTACTTGTAACTTCTTTCACATCTTCGACAACTTCAAGTTGTACCATTGCAAATACTCTACTTGCTGGAGGACTGGATTTCTGTTGATTTTTCTTCTTGTTGTTTGGACAATCCTTTACCAAATGACCCTCTTCCACAATTAAAACACGATCCAAATTTAAGTTGACAAGGCCCATTATGTAATTTTCCACAATGAGGACATGATGAAGGCATTGTCACCTTGGATTAGTCTTCCATTCGATCCTTTTGTTTGGGAACCAAGGAGCATTTTTGCCTATCCTGGTACTTGTAGTGGTACAATTCCAATGCTTGTTGCTTGAGGTTTTCATTTCTCGGGTTTGAGTTATTTTGTCCTATGCTTTTTTTGCCACTAATGCCTTATCCATTACCATAGAAAAATCCAAGCCTTGAATTCCTAACATCGTACATCTCGTGCCAATTCAGGTTTTAGCCCTCCAATGAAACGCTCAATTTTTACTTCGCTAATAGTGGTTACGTGAGTTGCAAAACGTGACAATTCTTCAAGCTTCTTAATGTACTTAGATACAGTCATTAATTCTTGTTTTAAAAATAGAAATTCATTTAACTTTTGTTGTTTGGCTGCAGAAGAGAAATATTTTGCTCAAAACTTTTGCCAAAAGATTTCACAGGTCATGCCTTGAGCTTCTCCAATGCTTGTTAAGGTATCCTACCAATGTCTAGCATTTTCCCTTAACATAAATGACAAACATATAACATTTTTGAATTCCGAAATATGTGCATATGTAAACATGCGTTCCATGGTATGAATCTAATTTTTTGCTTCAATTGGATCTTTCGTATCATCAAATACTAGGGGTTATCGTTGAAAACGATTATTAGTATCATTTTCTTCCTTGATCTTGGAAGATTCTCCATTGGAAGTGTACTTGTTAATTAGTTGATTTATCTGTTGAGCACTTGAGCTTGACAGCGGACCAACCGAGTCAAATGTTCAACTGATGTAATATTACTATCACTTTGACTATTTTGAGACATTTCCTGGCATATTGCAAAACAACAATGTCTATTAACGATCTATATAATTTTCTCTTGTAATTTGGTGTCCTTATGAAGCATTATACTTATGTTTAT